TGCCGTCTTCTAGTGGACGCTCGTCTTCGCAGGCGTTTGCAGTCCTCAGCAGATCAATGTTTTTGTTTCAACAGACAGAGACGTGAACTTTATTTACTGTTTATTACAAAACAAGACAGAACATTCAATGGGTTTTTTTCTATCTGCAAACACGACACAATGACAAACCTTCAATCTGCAGTGAGAAGCTTGGCCAGAACTGGAACCAGAACAAAGCAACACAACAAGGAGCTAAATTTTGTGCAGTGACAGAACGGCACCGTTGAGGAACAGAAACCAGAATGTGGAGAGCGAGTGGTGGGGGTCCACCAAGTGCCCTTTAATGTCTACTAGGGGTGGATAGATGCTCAGACGCATTTAACACATATTTAAATAACTCACCGTTAACTTAAATCCAGTCCACACAGTAAAATCAAAGTGCCAACAAGCAGGAAACAAAAAGGAGGAGCATTTAGGGCTGCGTTCACCTCGCCTTGTCTGAGTCATGTGACCTTTCTACCAGCGCCATGAGGCAATAACCCCGAAGGGCTGGTCGTCACTTCCTGTTTGCTGAAGCTGTGTGGTGTTACCATGGTAACGTCCATCTCATTTTTCATTTTTTGAAATTTAAATAACTTATTTTTGATACAAATTCCCTCCATATTCATATAAAGTTCAGTTTTGGTATGAAACAGGAAGGGCAGGTCGGTGAAGGCACAGCACATCGCTGTCCAACATGTCCGCTCAAACGTCAAATCTTTAAAAGCCAATCAGAACACAAGAGTTTCAGCCAAACCAACAGGGCGGTGATGTCAAGCAGGGAGCAGCACTTTGTCATGGAAGCTCCTGACCGGTTATTAAATGAAGGATTTCATTTATCTTCAAATTATTTTATTTATTCAATATTCTGTTTAACCATTGTACCTGCTCAATGATCAATCATCAATCAGCAGCTGACTGATTACAAGGTTGGCTAGATGTTTGTCTTTGAGTGAACATCTGTGCATCAATTATTGATAAAACAAACAGGGACAGGAGGTTTTCTGGACGATGGGATTTCGTTTCCCAGAATGCTTTGCAAGCTGAGGTCCGAATAAGAGCAAAACGTGAAAGTTCAAAGTCAGGTGAAAGGAGCAGAGCAGGAGGTGGGGCTTAAACAACTGGAGGTGGGGCTTAAACAACTGGTTAAACTTTAAATCCACTTTCTTTCCTAAGAGTGGGGGGGTGACCACCTATGACCATTTATGGTCTCTCGCCCCCCCCCCCCCCAAACATACGACCTTATAAGGTTGTCCTGTTTTTATCTACACAGTGAGGAATCAACCAGTTCCTGAAAACTGAACAACCAGAAACTCCAACGGGTCCAAAGTGTAAATGTGAACTTTTGCAGAACTCATCCGACGAGTCCAAAATGAGTCCGCTCTGATCCAGAACCAACCCAGAACAAATCCAGGACCACTTAATAACCTCAGTTCAGAGCTGTGCGGTGTTACTCAGAGTCGGATTCAAGTGGAGCGGTCTCATCCACCTCAGGCTGGTTTTGGAGCGTGGCGGCGGCAGCACGGGCCCGCTGCTCATTCTCCAGGTGAGCTTTCTTGTGGCGCGAGAAGCTAGACGAATGCATGAAGGTCTTGTTGCACGCCATGCACGTGTACGTCTTGTTCTTGCAGGCAGGGTGTTCGACCTTCACGTGGCTGGCGCTGTCTGTCACCCTATGAACCTGCTGGTGCCGAGCCAGGCTGGAGGCGTGGCTAAAGCGTTTCCCACACTGGCTGCAGCCGTGGAGCCCAGCTTCCGGACTTCCTTCAGCGTCGTCCTCGGAAGAGGCGGCGCCTCGTTTGCTGAGGTGGCCTCCGCGGCGACGGCGGTTCTTCTTGCAGAGGGTGTAGAAGTTAGGTTTGTCACGAGAACAAAGCTTCAGGCAGATCTTGAGGTCGGAGGAGGTTTCGCCCAGGTTCTCCTTGCCGGGCGTGTAGCTGTCCAGCAGCTCCTTGACGTGGCTCACCTGATGTTTGGACAGCTGCGTGGACGTCCTGAAGCTCATGTCGCACTGCGGGCAGGCATAAAACTTATCGGTACTCTGAATGATGGCTGTGGCCACATGGTGCTGATGCTGCTGCCTCTTAGTCTTCTTGTTCTTGGTGCCGATCTTCAGCGAGTGGCGCAGGGTGGCCACATTGGCCCCTAGGGTGGCATCTTTGGATACGCCTTGTCCCTTCTTGTGGATGAGGCGATGGCGCGACAGGCTGGAACTGTGGTTGAACTCTTTCCCACAGATGTTGCAGGGGTGGATGCGTCGCTTCCCATGCAGCCTCAGGTGGCTCCCCAGCATTCTGACAAACAGAGAAGCAGGTTACACCAAGCTGTTTTAGCCCCGCCCACAAAACCATCACCCTCATAAACCCCTTTTAGCCCCACCCACAACACCATCACCCTCGTATAACCCTTGTAAGTCTGTATCGCTGAACATTCTCCTGTTTTAGTTCAAGTGCTCTTTGTTCTGAACCACTAGGCTCCCACCGCATCATGTTTGGATGAAAATCAAACAGATATGTTTGGTTATAAACCAACAGCTACATTTGAATATAAATTAAACTTCTACATTTAAATCAAAAATAAAAGGTTGATACATACTGAACAGATATGTTGATATAAGTTAAGACTTATTGATAAAACCTGTTCAGAAACCAACTTTGTAAGACGGAACATAACAATGGTCACATGAGCTGAACTAGGCGTGTTTACCTGCTGCCTTTGAAGCTCAGGCCACAGTGTGGACAGATGTGGCGTGCGTCCTGATGTGCTGGCTCCAACGTCCTCTTGGCGAGCAGTGCTCCATTTTTTCCGGTGTGCGTCTGATGGTGGCGGTACAGACTAGAGGCGTGGCTGTAACACTTCCCACAATAACTGCAGCGGAACTGCCGCTCATCTCGCTCGTAGTCATCCTGATCATAATCGGCCTCACAGTCCAGCTGGCTGCTCCCCGCCTCCACCAGAGCCTCCTGCTCCTCCTCGGCGTACTCATCCTCTTCGTCAGAGTCTGTTTTGATCTCCACGCTCTGCTCTGTCACCTCACAGGGGTACACTTCCTCATAGGGAGCAAAGAAGACCTCGTCGGACTCGATCTTCAGCTGGTCAGCAGTCAGGTCTACAGACTCGTCAGATTCTTTCTTCACGCAGGAAATGGTGAACTTTGAGCCCACCTCGGCCCACTTCACCACATACTCGATGGGCTGTGTATCGAGCTCCACGGTAATGAAGTCTGCACCCAGAGTGTCCGACTCAGACACGGTCAGCTCCGTACAAGGGTCCTCCATCCTGAAAGGCTCTGCCCAGCGGCACCAGGGCCAAGGAAGCAAGGAAGAGGTGTACCTACAGATCAGAAACAAGATGGACACTAAGTACCAAAACTGTTCTGTGAGTTTTGTCCTATGATTTTAATGACAGACTTAGATGTTTCACTTGATCCATTCCAGATGTAACAATAATTTTACTTGATCTGTAATAAATATATTAATCCAGTTCATATTCATTACATTTATTAATCCAGTTAATATCTAAGGGAGGAAGGGAAGTCTGAGATTGTCATCATTGTATGTTTCCATACAACAGCGAAATTAGTTCTCTGCATTGAACCCATCACACGTGAGATACACGCAGGTGGCGCAGTGGGCAGGTATTGAGCTCCCGGGGCGCAATTAGGGACTAGGTGTCTTGCTCAGAGACACCACGACATGTGGGAATGGCTGGGAGTCGAACCGCGACTTTCTGGTCCCAGGTCAGCTGCCCTACCTCTACCCCACCCCCCCCATCCCCACCCCCACCCCCACCGCCACAGTAATAATCTAGATTACTTTAATAAAATTTATTAATTCAGTTCATTTCTAAATTGTCCCTAGGTGTGAGTGAGAAAGTGAATGTTTGTTTGTCTCTATGTGTCCCTGTGATGGACTTGCGACCCGTCCAAGGTGTACCCCGCCCCTCGCACAGTGATTGCTGGACATGGGCACCGGCGACCCCCGTGACCCAAAATGGAATAAGCGGGTAAAGTTAATGGATGGATGGAGTTCATCTCTAAACAGTTCACTTTAAACATAGTTCCAGTTCACTTTAAATAAATTTAAATAAAATGTTACTAATTAATTTTATCATTAAAAGAAAATATTAAATCAGTTTTATCTTTCTTCATCTACTTCATTTGCTTAATCAACCTAATTCCTAAATATTCTGAAAATAATCATTTATTCTGTAGTAACAAAAAAACAACATATTCATCTGTTGGTGCATTTTACACTTCTGTTATTCATTTGTGTTTTAAAAATACTAAGATTTGTTAAAAGTAGACTAATGGAGAGACCTATTGTCCTATTGTTGTCCTGTTGTTGCCAACCTGTAGATGGAGGAGGTAGAAAAGAGGTATCCTTTTCAGGAACACCACTGAGTCATTGATTCAGGTATGTTGATGACACCTGGGTTAAAATTAAAGCTTTGATCACATCAACTCTGTGGATAAATATATGAAGTTCACACAAGATGTAAAAAAAAATGGCAGGTTGGCTTTCTTGGACTGTAAGATCTCAGTTTCTGATGAATAACATTTGCAAACTGAGGTGTACTGCAAACCCACCCATTCAGACCAATACTTGCAGTTTGACTCCCATCATACCCTGGAGCACAAGTTATGAGTCAGGACTCTGTACCACAGAGCAGGCGGCGTCCCCACAACTCAGGAGCCATTTTTGTGGAGAACCCCGTCCATCGTTAAACAGGGGCAGAGGCCTCCGTGTTCAACTGTCCCCCTCTTACAATGCTGTTATTGTTAGTATCACTCAGCCCCCTGTGAACAGCAAGCAGCCATCAGGGCACTAACGACCAGTCGGTAGGCTGATGGTCCTCCTTTTTGCATGTGAACAACTAGTTTTGACTGCCACAGGCCAACTGGTTAATCCACTATGAGAAGGTGCTGCTTGTAAGACTGTTTGTTGCAGCTCCTCAGACTGAAGAAGTCTTTGTGGATAAAATATGAAACATTTCAACAAGAATCCATCCAGAGGACCTGACTCAACCTTGTTAGAGACAAAGTTCTTTCCTGTAAACCATGACTGTGAATGAGGGTAAAATTCAACACAAGGCCTCAGCAATTTAACCAATTTAACCTGATGCATGCTCAATAATCCAGGTAGAAAATCTAAAAAAAAGTCAAGTCTGGTCCTCTGGACATTCAAAAAACAAAACAAAGAAAAAAAAATAAAAATTGTAGAAATGTTTCGTCTCTCATCCGAAAGACTTCCTCAGTCTGAGGTGCTGTATTCAGCTCAGTCTCTTAAATAGCACCTTCTCAGAGTGGATCAACCAGTTTTGCTGCTGACAACCAAAACCAGCTGATCACATGCTCAAGAAGGACCATCAGCCTAACAATGGATCATTAGCACACTGATGGCTGTTTACTGTTCACATGAGGCTGAGTGATACTAGCAATCACAGCATTGTAAGAGGGGGACAGTTGAACCCGGAGGCCTCCACCCCTGTTTAATGATGGACGATTTCTTTTCACAAAGATGGCCTCCTTTACTCCTCTCTCAAACAATCGTTCCTCTCTGTCCAGGATGTGAAATCCTACACGAGACAGGCTCTAGAGCAATGTGGATATCCTAACTGGGCCTTCCTGAAAGCAGAGAAGAAACCCAAACAGGACTCCAGTCAGCCATCAGGTGAAAAGGAGGAACCCAGATCCAGACCAGTGGTCATTCCATATGTTGAGGGAGTATCAGAGAAACTGAGACGTTTATTTTCTAAACATAACGTCCCAGTGGCTTTTAAACCCCAAAATACATTACGGCAAAGACTGGTTCATCCCAAAGATCCAGTCCCCTGGCACAAACAGAGCAACGTTGTGTATGCTGTTCAGTGTCAGGAGGGTGATCAGTCTTACATCGGGGAAACTAAACAGCCACTGGCCAAAAGGATGGACCAGCACAGAAGATCAACATCATCAGGCCAGGACTCTGCGGTCTACACTCATCTCCAGGCCAGCGGTCACTCTTTCAAGGATGAAGATGTGCACATCCTGGACAGAGAGGAACGATGGTTTGAGAGAGGAGTAAAGGAGGCCATCTTTGTGAAAAGAAATTGTCCATCAATAAACAGGGGTGGAGGCCTCCGGGTTCAACTGTCCCCCTCTTACAATGCTGTTATTGCTAGTATCACTCAGCCCTCTGTGAATGGTAAACAGCCATCAGTGTGCTAATGATCCATTGTTAGGCTGATGGTCCTTCTTGAGCATGTGATCAGCTGGTTTTGGTTGTCAGCAGCAAAACTGGTTGATCCACTCTGAGAAGGTGCTATTTAAGAGACTGAGCTGAAAACAGCACCTCAGACTGAAGAAGTCTCTTGGATGAGAGACGAAACGTTTCTAGATTTTTTTTTTTTGCTTTGATTTGTTTTTTGAATGTCCAGAGGACCAGACTTAACTTTTTTTAGATTAATCAATTTAAGTTTAAAACTTGATAACTTCGGAAAACATCTAAAGCTTTATCAGAAAGTTTGGTGTTATTTGTGAATAAAGATCAATAATGACACGGTTTTAAAATTAACTGGATATGAGCACCTGTGACCCCGCGACTGATGAACGAATAGATGGATGGGCCTTTTGTCAACAAAAGTACTCCACAGATCACTTTTTACATTATAGATAGGACATCTGAGCCCAGACCTGCAGGGACTCTGATCCCTGAGCTACTTTACAAGCCTCTCCAGGACCCTAATGGACTAGAAAAGACCCCACTGGACCCATTTTGGCTCTACAAGACTCTACTGGGCCCAATCTAGATGATCTGGCCCTGTACAGTACTTATGTGTATGCAGCTCTGCAGACATTGTTACACTTTTGTGACGTCACATACAGGCGACAAAAAAAAACATTAGATTTGACTCTTGTCAGCTTCTAAACTTCATCGGGTCACGTGAACAGTTCGTAGTGAACATAAAAAACCTGCAGCCACGCCAGCAGGCCGAACTCCGTTCACAAATCTGATATTTGAATGTTCGGCAGGAACAAACCCGAAACCGCTATTCTGCATCAGAATGCCATTTATTTTAGCAAAAAACAGAACATTAGCTAAACATGAAATAACGTTTGCTCGTGTTTATCATCATAACATATAGCCAGTTACCTGGAGCTGCTCCACGGCTGTCCTTCAGTCAGAAACCCGCAGAGGGCGGGCTGCCAGCCGGGCACATCTGTGAATATTATTGCTGGCTTTTCCGCTTATGCACACATTTCACCTCCAAACTTTCTAAGCCGAAATCACCACAAAACCGAGTTGTTTCGAAAAACAAGTAAATATTTAGCGAAGTACTTTAATTTGAGTTGTGCAGCGCAAAGGTTTAAAATCGTGTTTCTGTTAGAGGAGTTCCGGGACTCGGCCGGTCAGGCTGTCAGCGATGAGGAAGCAGCGATAAAACTGTCAAAATAAAGCACGGGGACGGCGGCAGTGTGCAGAACCGGACAGGGTTCGGTTACTCACCGAGGTTCTGCTTGGTGGAGCGCCGTTAATATGTGCGGTTAATGCCGTAAAATCCACCGACGGAGAGCGACAATAAACAGGAAGCAGTGAACACGAAGAGCTGAGCAAAAGGATTAAATGGTCACAACTACCGGAAATACCGGATTGACTTTCAAAACAAAAGCATGTTAAAAATAAAACATCGTGACGTCACTAATATAGATAATGAAAGGAAAAGGTTTATTATACAAAATTAGATAAAAATAAAGCATTAAACATAAAACTGTATAAAATCCTCAATATAAACTAAACACAAAAATAGATAAAACTGACATTTAAAAAAATTACAGATATACTTAGTAAAGATTATTTTTTAAGATTGGCAAAATAAAAATAAATTCTTGATGGAATGCATATTGCCCACCACCTTTCAAGCCAGAGTTTTAAACTAAGTCATGTTGTCATGAAAAATTACAAGATGAGTTGTCACTGTTTTGATCAAACTTTGAAAATGATGTTATTTATGTTAGGTGCTTCGAGAAATCTGTGTCTTGGACTCACTTGATTAACATTTTTATATCCTGGCCTTTATTTGGATACTAATGAAGTTTAATGTCTCAGTGTGTTTCAAATAGTATTCAATCTTTATTTATACAGGTTAGTCTCATTGAGCCTGGAGGACTCATTTACAAGAGAGACCTGATTTAAATAAAGAACACAAATGAGGTACAGACAACAACAGACAATCATAAAAAGCATATAAAATGAAAACGGAAATAGAAGAAATTATATAAGAACGAAACAAAAACAGCTACATTGTAAAGCGAT